GTGCCTGTGTGGGTGTGGGTGTGCATGCCTGTGTGTGTGTGTGTGTGTGTGGGTATGTGTGTTCAGCTATTGAGCCCCTCATTTCAATGAGGGACACCTAAACAATGCAGTAGTTCGGCTTTGGGAGTGTGTGGATATGTATGTATTATTGATATAAATCTGGTGTCTTGTCCTTGATTGGCCTGGTGTAATATGCAGGGAGGTCGCATCCGTGATTTTCTGTTTAAAGTGCTACACAACGAAACAGGGGTAATAATGGCTGAAGGACTTCCAACAAATGAAGGAACACAGTATGCAAGGACACAGATGAGGACCTCAAAGTTTTGTTTGCATCCTGCTGGCGACACACCATCTGCTTGTCGGCTGTTCGATGCGATTGTCAATTTGTGTGTGCCGGTAAGTTCCTATTGTTGTGTCCTTTACTCTACCGTCTTCACCCGAATAGAACGCCCGGTCGTTATCGCTGCATCTCGCCCGAAGGTTGTGCCGAATACAGCTATACTGACCGGGCGTTCTATTTGGGTGAAGACGGTAGTCTGAGTTTGTGTTCTTCCTGTTTGTTTGTTTTTTCATGTACAAGCAGAAAAAAGTATAGCCTCTTCCTCGTATAGATCGGAATACCCCTGGAAAGCAGCAAATGTGGTGGTCGTACATTTGATTGCAACAGCAGCATAGGTATGTCTCCTTTCACCAGTGGCAGGTAGTCTGTCTATCTTTTGTATGTGGGCACTGTCGTCATCTTCAATGGCCCCTACAATTCCTGGCATGTCAACAACAAAGCAGCAGGCACCTGGAGCGTCACGCTGTGATCCGAGCAGCGTAGACTTTGCTGGAGCTTTAAGGTGGGGAACTACCGTCTTCCCCCGAACACAACGCACCCTCATTTGGGCTGTACCTGACCTGAAATATAGCTTGTATACGTTCATTATCAGGGTGCGTTATGTTCGGGGGGAAAGACAGTAGTGGCAGTTAGACGCTTCGTGTCTGAATCCCACGGGCTCGTCAGCAGAGTTGCTTCGTCCAAGAAATCGCAGGAAACACTTCTTTCGCAAACTCGTTTTGTAATACAATCTCACAAAGGTTCCCCGCTGTACACCGACTCATCAGAGCTTTGGTTCCGTTGATTCCAGGTTGGGGAAACTACTTTAAGTGGAAAAGAATCAAGCGAGGGTCAGTTTGTCGTCCTCTTCTCCCTCTCTTTGTGATGCAGTGCATAATGAAATATTTTCTTTATGTTGGTTTTTCTTGTAGGTGGATATCGCCCTTTGTTCAATTTTCTTCGGTCTGGATAATGACGTGCGTGATGGAATACTTATTTTCAATGTATTCACTTCTCTTGGGGAACTACCGTCTCCCCCCAAACGCTACCGTCATCCTCCGAACACAACGCGTTTTGAGGCAGGGAAAACCACGTCGCTTCGCCAACAGAACGCAATCGAACCTTTTGCTGTCAGTAGGGTGGCCCTTGGTTTTTGGCTGCTACTCGCAGCGGCTCGGTTTGATATTTGCATTCTTCAACTGGGCCTGAACACCAGGCTAGATGGGACTAATCTCAAGCATGCGTCCCGAAGTAATGTGGAAGTCTAGATCTCTGAGGGAGCAAGCGGTGTGTACCAAAGAAAAAGGCAAGGGACATTTCCCAAATTTCTGTGTCGTGGAGTTTGTAACGCGTTTTGAGTTTTGCCTGTCATTGGGAAGTCGTGTCTGTTGCTGTTCGACAAAACCTCTTTTCGTGTGGACATCATTGCTGAGTGGTGGTCCATTTGTGCAGCAGTCGAACACCATTCGCGCATGAGACAGTCTGGGCGACTCTTTGGACGCTGGGATTGCTTCGATGCACACAGTTCTCGCTGGTGCAAACGTCGATCACATCTATATTTTTTGCTCTGTGTTTTGATAACCTTGTCTGTTTTCTGTGTGTGTGTGTGTGTGTGTGTGTGTGTGTGTGTGTGTGTGTGTGTGTGNGAGAGAGAGAGAGAGAGAGAGAGAGAGAGAGAGAGAGAGAGAGAGAGAGAGAGAGAGAGAGAGAGAGAGTTGCGGCTTTTGTGGACTCACGAATGAGTGCATTGGTGTGGGGGGGTGTGATGGGTGTGAGTGAATGTGGGGTGAACGGGCTCGGTGATCGAGAGGGGGTAGGTAGGTATGTGACCTGCTTGGGAGGGAAAGGCATGTTGGGTATGCAGGTCGTTGTCAGCGATGGGATAGAGCTCCCATTTGAGAATGAGCTTGATTACAGTGAATTCTGTATCTTCATATCCTCTGAAAAGGCAGTGAAGCATGGTGCGATTGTCAAGATTCTAAGAGCTGTCAAGCCGGCTCAGCTTCTGAAGTTCCGGAAGAAGTTATGGGAGGTAGGTGTGGGACCATATATTTTGAGTATTCTGCTACGAAGCGATGCTTGATCTGCTCTTCTGGTTTTGAATTTGGGTTCTTAACACTAGGCTACCAGAGTCGCCCCGACCTGGCCCGGCCGGCCTGGCGGCCTGGGCGAACCTGCTGGGGGGGCGGGGCGGGGGGAGGAAGGGGGGGCGTCGGGGGTCCCTGGGCAAACAGCACAAGAGGGTTCAGGTTGTTTTTGGTTTTTTGGTAGGAGGGCAATTTTGCAGCCACTCAGATCTGCTCGAATCCGGCCTTATCTTTGAATTTGGTGGCATCACACCAAAGATGTCTATAGGGTAATGAATGAGGTTTTGGCCCAAGACGGTAATAATAGCGTTCAGAGGTATCAACCGGGCTATCACAGCTGATCGGCACTAAGTGCGATGCCGCCCTAAGATCATCATCAAGCACTGTCTACCTGCCGGGCCGCCCAGGTTGCGTCAGACTGGCCCGGGTCGCCCGGCCAGGCCAGGTCCAGGCAAAGTCCCGGTCAATGTCCAGGACAACCCCAGCAAAAAAAAAGAAAAAAACTATGTCATGCAGAATTGCAAATCAGTCAATGTCCAGGACAACCCCAGCAAAAACAAAACAAAAAAAACAAAAAAAAAACAAAAAAAACAAAAAAAAAAGGGAAAAAAACTATGTCATGCAGAATTGCAAATCAAATGAAGTCCCCTGGGCAATTTCCGGGAAAGCCCCAGTGCAAAATAAAAAAAGAAACAAGAAAAAAAAACTATGTCATGCAGGATGCTAAGCGACCTGAGCAACTATTAGGAGCACCCCCCTCGCACCCCCCTCGCACCCCCCTCGCACCCCCCTCGCACCCCCGGCCTATCCGAGGGCTGCCCTACTGCGTGACTGGGTGCTGCCAGTAAGCCTCCCAGCCAGTAGGGCAACCCCCCGAAAGGCTAGGGATAGGGGGGAGGGTTGCCCCAAAACAGTCCCCCCCTTGCCAGGCGTCTAGGGCCGCAAGGGACGGGCTGGTCCTCTGTCTTGTCTGTTCTCCCCCCTTCCTCTTTTCAGACGTAAAAACATGCTTGCCGGTGATGAGCATCCGGACTGGGGCCCCCAGAATAGAAGGGGCATCTTGTTTTGGAGAAAAAAATAAAAAAAAAAAGAAAAAGAATTGCAAATCAAGGAGCTCACAGCCTTCTGAATGGCACTTGGATGCGTAATCAACTGATCTAGCAGCCTCGCTCAGTTGGTTAGGCATGCAAGTGGCATTCAGGAGGTTGTGGGTTCGAGCCCCGTGATTTGCTATTCTGCATGATATAGTTTTTTTTTTTTTTTTTTTTTTTTTTTCGCACTGGGGCTGTCCAGGAAATGACCAGGGGGCCTAGGAGGGTTTGTCATATGGAAACCGAAAGCTCCACGCAATGGAGGGTTTGTCTCCAAAGTAGCCTTTGACACATTGACCTTCCCACGGAGCAAGGGGGGCCTAGGTCTCCTAGATCCGGCTCGAAGGAATCAGGCTCAGCTCCGAAATTGGATAGCAAAAGTGGCGGCAGGAGACCCATCGGAACACTGGATAATCCTGATGAAAGCCTGGAAACTGAGAAGAGCAAAGGATGTGTGGGCGTGCCTTTTCATCCCGTCCTTCAGACAAAAGCGGTTGAAATCATGCTTTTGGGAGGCAGTACGCAAGGCTTGGAAAAGCCTCCCCACAGACGAACAAAGGGATCCGTCAACCAAGGAAGAAGTGATGTGCCAGATACTGCTCGAAAATCAAAGCATCACAGATCAGAATGGAACACCGCTGGTAGCAGATGGAATGGCAGGATCCTTCGGACAAGCCTGGATCAGGCGGGGGGTCGTTCGAATCGAGGACCTATGGTCCACAACTCTTGGCAGCTGGAAGCCGCTTGGGGAAGTAAAGGAGATCCTGAGAGGACTGCAGAGGGTAGAGGAACATTGGAGACAGGTCATAGAGGCAATTCCACATGACTGGTTGAATCTGTTGGGCCCGTTGGGAGTCGACCCCACGGGTACGTGGTACATCTCGGATCAGGAGTTGGAGGGCAATGTCCTGTCACCTGTGGAAGGTGTTTTTTTTCTTTTTTTTTTTTCTTTTTTTTTTTCTTTTTTTTTTTCCTGTGGAAGGTGTTAGAACTGTTACCCAGCGGCTTTCAGAGAGTAGAAAGATTGCGCACCGGAGGGCCATCGAACACCCTGGCCCTGCTGGGAGAAGAAACGATCATGGTATGGGATAATCCAGCACAGGTCCGTGTGGTGGAAGCGAAGAAGTCGGGTCGTCCCGCCCAAGTCCTGGCTCTGAACTGGGTGGGAAGGACTTCCCTACGCCAACTGTGTATCGACCCCTTGGCCTGGGGATGGAAAGAGAAACAGCCAGGAGTGCCAGCCCTAAGTCTGATGGACTACTCAGTGGCACATGAGTATCAGTTAGCTCAGGCGGGGCTGAAAAAGCCTGCGCAGATTGCAGCACCAAGATGGCGGACTGTGTGGAACGGAGACCTATCAGAAGCAGAACCTGAGTTTGAGAAATTGTGGAAAACCTTATCCTCTCTTCCGAACGGAAAACAGGTGAGTATCCTTTGTTTACTCTGCCTTATGGTGACGCCTTCGGCGGTCTGGCTGACAAGTAAGGGGATGGAGGTCGATCTGGGTTGCACAAGGTTCAGATGGCCCTTCGAGTCTACCAGACATCTATGGTGGGACTGCCCAGCCTCGAAGAGAGTGTGGAATTGGTGGGCCCACCACTGGAGAGATTTTGGAGGGCAGCAGGTAGACTGGGAGGAGAAATGGGCACTTTTGGGCTTCCTGCCACCTGTTGTGAGTGGGCGCAGGGGTTGGGGTTACATAGCACATGTGATAAGGGGCCTGATCTGCGAAATCATCTGGAAGGACAGAAACAGATCTCGCTTTCACAAGAAGCCACTCTCAGACGTGGAAATCAAAAGACTCTTTAAACAAGGTGTGAGACAAGCTATCCGGGTAGACTGGAGGAGAAAAGCTGGTGCAGGCAGAGGTAGTGCAAATCAAGTCCAGTGGTTCCGCAGCACCTGGGCCAAGCTGCACCAGATCGTGGATGTCCATCCAACAAGGGGGCTGACCTTCTCAAGCTGGGTGGTGGAGGTTAAGAGTACAGGATGAGTTCACAATAGATACCAACCAGGACACTCGGTTGTGTAGGGTCAAGGTAGACCATTAGGAGAGTGCCTGTAGGAATTGGACCGTAGGCCGGTCCTCCGGGCCGCGTTAGTCCCAGAGTAGGTTAGCGCATATTCTACTAGTACTTTTTTCCTCTTCAGAAGATGTACAGGAGGTCTTGCTCAGTTGGTTACAGGTCTCTTGAGATGCAGTGAATAGTGAACTAAGCTTCGGATTATTCTTCCTGTAGGCACAGCAAGTCAAGGTAGGATTATCCTCTGCAGATAAATTAAAGTTCACTCGAAGAACTTCGCAGGTCTTCTACCTGTTAGCTAAGCTGGCTGATGCTGTCAGATACCCCCGGGTTGAATTGCAATGACTTGCTGATGTTGACTGCCGAGTCTAACTGCGAGGTTGTACAGTAACAGCGGTAGGTTAGATTCGTAATTTTGTTGGGCTGAGGGCTAACCGAGAGACCTACCTGTAAGGAAAATTTGTGAGGGACATATCTGTAAATATGGGAAATATAGGCCCAGTACTAATTCGAATTTCCTACAGCTACCCTCACTGCTTATAGCAGGCCCGGACTACCCCTAGGACGGACAGGCCCAAAGGGCCTACACCGATAGACGGTCCTATAGCCTATAGCCGCGTAGGGAGAGGCTGAGAGGCCGAAACTGGAACGGTACCGGTCGGTCCAGTCAGTCAGGTCTAGGTCTAGGCTAGAGTAGTCTAGATCTATTAATAGCTTAGGAAAATCAATTCGGGACTTTTGGCTGTTCATTCTTGCGAAGCCAAGCAAGTTGGCGGTGACGATTGTCTACAGGCGGCATCCTGAGACCCTCGCCGTGGACGGCAGCCATAGCCGGCCTTCTGAAGGCTGTCAAAGCTGGGACATCCTCAGCGCATCTACCCGGGGGTATCTGCGTCTGGCCCGGCTATACCGAGGCTCTTCACTGAGTGTTCATGGGTGGCGGCAGCCATAGATGCCTGTTTCTTCGTCAGAGTTGTTCATCGGCACTGAAGACTTCATCGCAGGATCTGTTCCTCATCTGGGTGGTTGGCGCTGGCCTCTGGGAGGCCATTTCGGTGTTGCGCTACTAACTGGTGTAGGGTAGAGAGTGGAGTGCGGGGTTCTGAAGGTGGGGAGGTACTGGAACAAACTCTGTAACGATATTTGAGTTGGCTCATCATCAGCGTGAATTCCAATTGTTATCCTCGGAGGCATCTTCGTGTGATTGGTTGTTGGGAGTCTGTCAGAGAGTGAGAAACCCAGGGTGTCTTCTCCCCATCTGTGCATGGTTGAGCTTTCGCTGTCTACCCTGATCTGTGTACGGTTTGGACTCTGTCTCCTCTCCCCCTTCTCTTATGCATGTATGGGCGTGTATGAGACTGTCTGTGTGTGAGTGGCGGTAAAAATCGTCAGACAACCAAGTTCATAACAGAGTTGTGCGGTCCCCGGCCTCGTAACTTATTGAGAATGAATTGAGTACTGTTATTAAAAAATAAGAATAAAAAATAATTAAAAAAATGAGCAGGGGGCTTCGTTTGATTTGCAATTCTGCATTACGTAAGTTTTTTTTTTCAGACTTTTTTTTTTTTTTTTTCGCTGGGTGTTGTCCTGGTTGTCCTGGACATAGACCGGGACTTGACCTGGACCTGGACCTGGACCTGGACCTGGCCTGGTTGGGATGACATGGGCCAGTCTGAGGCAACCTGGGCGGCCTTGCTGGTAGACAGGTTTTGATGATCTTAGGGCGAGAGTCCACAGGAAAGTGGAAAGGAAAGGAAACGTGGGTGGAAATTATTTTGCAGACCCCACCAAGAAGCGCCATCCGCCTGGAACGGAACTGCCTTCCCCCCCCCTCTTTCAAAAAAGAGGGAAGGTTAACAGAGACCTCAGTTGTCAGACAACTTGTCAGGCCATATATAACAAAACCCAAGGGTCATTTTAACCAGACCTGCCACCAAAAAATTCAGATAGTGGAGATCATACTAGCTACTTGCAAAAAAAAAAAARAAAAAAGAAAAAAAGAAAACAGTGCACTTTCATGACATTTCGCCAACATTCCAATTTCAGAAATTTTGAGAAATTTCAGAAACCTCATCAGAGGAAATTCCAATGGCCCAAGTGATACCAAATTGGCACACAGCAAACCATAAAAACCACTAGTACCTCCGAGCTTGTTTTTGTCGGGGCTGAATTTCACTGCGCTCCGAGTTTTGCCGAGCTCGAGTCCCATGAGTGCCACTCCATTTTCTTTTCTCGTAATCTCACGGAAAGAACAAAAAAAAAAAAAGAAGAAGAAGAAAAGTCGCAGCCGTGAAACTCACAAAAGAAGGGAAAAAAAACAAAAAAAACAAAAAAAACAACAACGCTTTGGCCGTGAAATGCAATTGTATACATTCTTGGAAGTGGTCGTGTGAGTGTGCCCTCCTCAGTGAGGGCGTCTCGGCCCCGTGGCCAGGTTGTCAGATTCCAGAGAAAAAAGATAAAGAAGAAGAGGGAAAAAAGGAAACACGAATTCGGCCGGGAAATTGGCTCGATACGTTCCAAGTGCCAGTGTGATCAGGGTTACAATCCTCTGACGAAACACAGCTTGAGAAGATCACGGATTCTGCCCGTCCTCGTTGGCAGGGGGGGGGCTCGTAGGAATGAGACATTGAGAAGAGAAAGGAAAAAAAATTAAAAAAACAAAACAACAACATTCAGAATCTGACCGTGTTAGCTGTAAGATTCATTATGTGGAAGACTAGTGTGGACACGGCCTCCGAGACTACCCTGCCCGACATCATTGCAGTAGAGAAACTTGAGAAAGTATCCTTTTTTTTTTCCATTTTTTTTTCATGCGCGTGCAAATATAAAGCGAAACTTTATGGAACTTGCCGAGCCTGGGTCCCCCTCCGAATTCTTCGGGAACGGCGTTTTCCCCTAATTTCCCAACACTGGCGGAGGTACTACCGTCTTCCCCCGAATACAACGTACAGTCATTATAGCTTGTATTTAGACTGAAAGATACCCCAAATTCAGTTGTGAAAAAAACCTATAATGACCGTACGTTGTATTCGGGGGAAGACTGTAGTGGCTTCAAGTTTAAACCACAAACAAAAACAGGCAAAAAAAAAAAAAAAAAAAACCATAAAATTTCAATTTAACCCCAAAACCCTAATTTTAGTTTTGGACCCGTCAGTCAGAGTGGGGGTCCCTTTTAACCAATTATGCCAAAAAGAGGCATCTGTTTCTGGATGCTTGTCCTGGAATCTGATTGGCCGCCGCCCGAAATTGGTGGGCAACCTTTCGGCAGAGGTGGCGTGGATGGACAGTTTAGGGAACTCTGGGAACCCGCGAGCAAGCCCACCAGACTGACATGGCGACCCCCTTCGTTCTGTCCTTTTTTGGAAAGGAGGGTACAGACTTTCCTCAGGCGAAGTGCGTCCTCCTATTAACAGTCTGCAAGGCTGGATGAGGGGAAAAAAAAAGGGAAAAAAAAAAAAAATAGAAGGAACCGGACTGGTTCTTGCCAGAATATAGAGGGGCTGTGTCTCTCATTGGGAAAAAAAAAAAAAAAAAAAAAAAAAAAGCAAACAGAAATCTGTTTATCCGTTTGTCAGGAGCTCGTTGTGCACGGCATGCTGAGTCTGATGTGTGATGCCAGTACTTAGCCGAGGAAGGTTTGCGAACGCTGAGTTCCTTCTTTTTTTTTTCTTTTTTTTTTTTTGGACCATTTCTTGATTTATGCGTGTCATCCTTGCGCAGGGGCCAAGCTAATCTTCTCTCTGTGTATCGTTCCAATTTTAACGGATGTCCCAAAGGACTGAACGGATGCGCTGAGTATTGAATTTAACCTTTGTGGAAATCAAATTTGGTGGGGTCTGGATCCTGATCGAGTGGCTGATCTGGATGGCGAATGTGGACACGCAACTGGGATAGCTAGCTTTTTGTAACCCCCGGTGATTATCACTGCAATGCATCTAGACCCAAAATTGCCCAAATACAGCTGTACTGACCGGCCATTCTAATATTCACAGTAGCAGGCATGATTGGAAGCCTTCTGCTAACAGTCAGCTGACGCTCTGTTGGTGGGTGTGTG